GTCGAATTCATAAATTACTAAAAAATAGGGGTGTTCAAATTTCGATTGGTCACAATTTCCTACCCTACCAAACTCGACCCTACCCTACTGAACGGCTAGCCGCAAAAATTGAGTAGGAATACGGAATACCCATCAATTTTTGCATTCCTACCTGAAAAAAATATATTTAACTTTTTTATATTTTTTTTAGTAATTATAAGAGTATTTGTGTGGTATAGTATATATTATAACATTGTTATTATTGTGAATGTTTGAGTTGCAAAAACATGAATTTATTTTTGTGTAGGTTACATGATTTATGGTGAACTGGTGATTTATTAGAGTAGTTATGATTTTAAATTATTTCATATGGTTTAAACTTAAAATAATTATTATTGTATTTATGTAACTGTTATGATGAATTAATATTCATGTTTTATTATATTTTATTGTAATTGTTGTTGTAGTTATTTTAAGTTTTAGTATTATTGATTTATTGTGTTGTTCAATTGGTACATGTTATTTAATTGAATTGTTAAAATGATCCAAAAATTAATAGCTACAAAATATTTACCCGACTTTCTACCCGATTTCTTACCCGATTAATTGAGTAAGAAGTCGGATAGAAATACCACACCTGATCGGGTAGGGTAGGCCAAGAAAAAATTCTTTTGCAAAGTATCGGGTAGGAAGTAGGAAGACGAAAGACTATATTTCCTACCCATAGGGTAGGGTGAACACTCTTAATAAAAAAAATAATCAACAATAAATATATTTGTATTCACACCCAAAGTCAAATTACAAAAATAAAGGAGAGAGATGGGGATCTAAGTTGCAGTTGTCGTGGGGGTGAGCAGTGGTAGTGGAAAAACGGTGATGATTGTGGTGAGTGACGACAACCGTGGTGGTGGTGGCAGCTATGGGTGGCAACGGTGATGGTGGCAGGGGATTTTGGGTGACGATCGCGATAATTAAATCCATTGGTAATGGTAATGGTGGTGGTGGGGCGATGGTGATGGTGGTTGGCAATGCGACAACAGTGGCGGTGACAGTGGTGGGTTGTGGTGGTGGACGGTGACAATGGTGGTGGTAGGTGACGACGAGTACTTTTGTGCGATAATGTAATAGGTGGTGATGAATGACGGTGGTGGTGGTGAGGCTGGAGGTGGGTGATAGTGGTTGACGGCGATGGTAGACTACAAGTGGTGGTAAGCTGTAGTAGTGGGTAGCAATGGGTGATGGTGGACAATAATGGTGGTGGTAGGTGCTGACGGTGGGGTGACGATGGTAATGGTAATAAATATAAGAATAAGATGATGATGATAGTGATGGATGACGGTTGTAGCAGTTAATAATGGGTGATGATAGTGATGGTGGTGGTGGTGGTGGTAGTGGTAGGCATGGGGGTGGAGGGTGGGTGAAGGTGGGGCAGTGGGCGGTGGTGGGACAATGGTGATGGTAGTGGTGATGGTCGTGAGGTGGTGGGAGTGATGGTGGTTAAGGTGATGGTGGGACAATGACGGTGGTGGTAAGGTGGTGGTGGCGGGGTAGCGACAGTGATGGTGGGGTGGGGGTGGTAGGGTGATGGCAGTGGTAGTGGTGGGGGTGGGGGTAGTTATAGTGGTGATGGGGCGATGGGTGTGGTGGTGTTGGGGTACGGTGGTAGTGGTGGGGCGATGAGGGTAGTTGTGGTGGTGGGGTGATGGTGGTGGGACAGTTCCAAACACTAATTTTTTTTTTTTAAAAAAAAAAATACTTATGAGAAGTTATAAGTCCTATAACCATTTTTAAAAAGTCACTCCAAATACACCCTTAGAGTCCTATTTTTCCTATTAAATTTGAAGTGTTAGTATTAGTTGTCGGATTAACTTTAAAGTAAATTTAAAGAGATTTTAATCGCGAAAAGTAAAGTTATTTTATTTATTTTTTGAGATTTGAATTATATGGTACTTTGTATATATGTATTAGTTATTTTCTCATGTATAAAGGCATGGAGTAATAAAAAAAAGGTCAGTAATAAACATATTTGTATTCACAATCAAAATAAAATCTCAAACATAGAGTAGAGAAAATGAAATTTAAGTACCGGTTGTAATGGTGGTGGTTGGCAGTGGTGGTGATGGGAGACGATAAAAATTACGTAGTGATGGGTGGCAACGGTGATAGTAGTGGTGAATTTTGGGTGACGATGGTAGTAGTGACATCTATGATTGGCCGTGGTGGTGATGGTGGGGTGTGGGTGGTGGTGGACGACAGTGATGGTGATGGTAGGCAACGACAGGTGTTTTTGGTCAACAGTGCGATCGATGGCGACGAATGCGGTGATAGTGGTGATAGATGTGGTGGGGGTGGCTGACAGTGGCTGACAGCGATTGGTGGACAATGATGGGTGTGGGTGGGTGCTAACGGTGGGTGACGGTGATAGTGGGATGATGATAGTAATGGTAATAAAATATAAGAATGAGATGACAATGGTGGTGGGTGGTGGAGGTGGACGACGGTGGTAGCAATCGATTATGGGCGGCAGCGGTGGCGATGGGCTAGTGATTGTGGTGGTGAGGGTGGCGACATGGGGTGGTGAGTGTGGCGGTGATGGTGGTGGTGGGATGACGACAACGGTAATGGTGATGGTCTTGGGGGGGTGGTGGTGGAGGTGGTGGTAGTGGGCTTGTGAGGGTGGTGGCGGTGAGGTGGTGCAGTGGTGATGGTGGGGGGGGATGATAGTGGTAGGGGTAGTGGTGGTGGTGGTGGGGGTGGCTTGGCGGCAGTGGCGGTAGAGGTGTTTTGGTGGGGCGGTTTCAAGCATTATTTTTAACAAAAAAATATTTTATGAGAAATTATAAGTATTAAAAACACCTTTAAAAAGTTACCCCAAACACATCCTTAGGAACCTATTTTCACTATTAAAATTTGGAGTGTTAATATTAGCTGCCGGATTCACTTTTTAAAGTAAAATTTAAAGATATCTCAACCGTGAATAACAAAAATCATATTATTTATCTTTTGACATTTAAATTGTATTGTACTTTATTATATAAATATATATGTGTGTGTGTGTAATTAGAATTAAGAACTAATTACTGTAGTAAAATCTAAATATACTAAATATATTGTTATATGCAATATAATAAATAAAACAAAATGTTAAAATGAAAACTGTAATAAGGCCATTAAAGTGATGCAGAATAACAATAAAGAAGATAATAAAAAATTTAGAAAATTAGATATAATTCAAGCCCTGTGTAATTACAGTTTTCTTAAAACATATTTGCTCTCCCTCGGTGCTTAAGGTTGATAAGTTACGTCTCGCAAGATAAATCAACTTTTATTCTTGAAGATGCAGTATTTCAATCTTCAAGACTTCAACGAACTCAATTTTGTGTTTAAATTCAAATTGAGCAAGAAATGACTATGCAGCTATATGCAGAGAGAGAGAAAGAGAGAGGAAGAAGAAGAAGAAGAAGAAGTAGAAGAAGAAACACATAATACAAAATTCAGATTTGGGATAATTGAGAGAAGTAGAATGACAGATCAATTCTTGTAAGAAATAAAATTTGTTCAATGGTATGATTTACGAGTCTAGGACATCACTTATTTATAGACTCGCCAGTAGTTTTTCATAAATAGTGCAACCATGTGTGCAACCATGTGTAATGGTTTATTTTGGTTCAAAGAGTATCAATGATGATTTTATGAAAATGTACAACTATTTGAAATGATATATTTTAACCAAAAGATTTCAAATGTAATTTTTATGAAAAAGTTATAATTATTTTAATAGTATCTTTTAACCTAAAGGTATTAGTGATGGTTTTATAAAATGATGTAACCATTTTGATTGATGTCTTTAATTCAAAGTTACCAATTTTGAATTAGTAGCTTTTCATGTCATCTTTACTTCATATTTTTCTAATTTCTCTAAAAAGTCACAAAAATTTTTTAAAAAATAACCTCAAAAAATTTTATTTTGAAAATACTTTAACAATTTCTCATTCAATATTTAATGGTTTTAAAACAAATAAATATATCACATTCATCTCCTCGCGGAGGATAATGCATTTAAACTTGATCCCACTAATTTTGAGTTATGAATTCCACTTTAATTTAATCCTTAAGTTGCTCAAAATATTTATTTAAAAACTATTATTTCCAAAAAAATACACATCAGTCATTATGTAAACTAATAACCAAATATAATTTTGATTTTAATGAAATCTTATTATTAAAAAAATAATTCAAAAATATTATCAAATAGTAAAGTTTTGAACTGTGAACAATATAAGAGGAATGAGTAGTGAAAATAAAATATGCAATACAACAATAATTTAACATAATAATCAACGTATTATATTATACACCTTATAGTAGTTGAGCAGAGCTTGTATCCACAATGTATTTTTTTTTGGTCCAACGGTTAAAGGTTTTCGGGTTAGCTTATATGTTTCTTAATTAATTTTCTCATTGATCTGGTTGAAAGTAGATCATCTATGTCGAGATTAGGATATTCATGAGATAAATTTCTCGTGGTTTAGCCCCATGATGTTGCCAAAATTAAAACTCAAAATGTTTAAATTTACAATTCATCCCTATTACCATTTCAACTATCCCTCCATAAATTTCATACACAAGGAGGGGGATGTCGAAGGTTCGGCGGTGACTAATATTCTATCACCATTGCATTGAGACAAAAATAAAAATAATGCCATATATGTGCACCATAATTATTGTGCTAATTTAATAATGTACACTAATTTGGCATAAGAGATTTGATAAAATAATATGCAAGGTCAAACAACGCCTTGAAAAATAAATGCAAGGTCAATCTGGGGGCCAGCGAATGATGCTGGTCGTCCATTTGAGAACACGCTTCATTGATTAATGGCGGTGATGTGCGTGGTGCAATTTAATCTGCCGGTCGGCCCCACACTCGGCAACTGTGTAGCACCGCACTCGATAATATCCAACAACGCCTTGCCTCACTTGTATGCTACTACTGCCTTCGGTTCGGGGAATCGGTGCCAATCTCCATTCTCAGTCAATCCCTTCGACAAGCCAAAACCTCGCAAACAGTCCACTCAGAAAATCGATTCAAATCCCCAATCTCTCTCTCTCTCTTGTCCATTCAGCAATGGTAATACAACAATCGAGCTCACAATCCATTACCTGAAACTTCGTATAGCAATGGTTTTAACCGACTTGGTTAGACGGAAGCTAGCTGCTCTGTTACGGCCATGGCTGCGACAAGAACCGGAATTGGAGCTGAAGCTAGGGTTTCTTCGCTCCAACGGAATCGCGAAGGACCTAAGCTTCGACACTTCCTCCCTCAACCAGTCACTGGACGAGTCCACTCGGTTCTCTTTCAAAGAAATCAAGGTCGAACAGTTGGCGCTAAACGTATCCACTTGGTCGTTCCCTGCTTTCACTATCTCAGTTCACGGCCTCCATGTCACTCTATCACTTTGGTACATGACAATTCTCGATATGTATGGTTATTAATATATGTATGTATTTTTGTGTGTGCCATTATTGTTTTCGTGTTTGTATTGTGAAGGGAAGTGAAGCGGGACGGTGGGGTGGGACGGAGGCGGAAATCGAATGATAATTCTATGGAGGATAAGAAGAAGGTTCTATCTGAAATTGATCCACAGGTATTCGCGTGACATTGTTTTGTTTTAGAGAAGGAAGAGAATGGGTTTGTGTCTTATTGTGAGCCATGTGTTGGTGACTTAGTATCACAATATAGGCTGATGCTTATAAGCCTGGGGTAGAGTCGCTGAATCTTCATGGTGTCAAGCTTCAACTTTCAGTTGTGGGCTAATTCATTGGTATTGAGTTTATTGTAGTAGCCTCAGTTTGCCGCAAGGAATTTAGAACTATCAACTAACGAGAAAGAGAGAATATCAAGAGAGAATGGATTAGAACTTTGGCATTCATAGACTAATTCTAAGAGTTCATAGTTTCAGTATCAACCGGTCTAAGAAAAAAACTATTCTGGTGTGAAGTGCACTAATTCGAGGAGAAAACTTGATTTTGTTTTTCATGGTAGTATTTTCCAAAAGAAAACACGATTGAATTTTGATTTCAAATGCACTGGTTCTGAAAGTAAACTTGATTCTAGGATTAACTCCACTAGTTCTTGTAGAAAAACTAATAAAGAAATCAAGAATTCTAAGAGAAATCGCGATTCTAGTGTCAACGGTAACTAATCTGAAAGAAAACACTTTTTCACTGTCAATGATACTAATTCTTGAATAAAACATGATTTTGGTGTCTAAGTGTATTAATTTTGAGAGAAAACATGATTACGACGTTAACTGCACTATATCTTAAAGGAAAAAGAAGACTCATATGTCAAAATGCTTAAACTTGACCCAAAACACTTTTTCACTGTGAATGTATGTTTGCTTCATTATGCTACATAAAAATCATTGTGTCCAAATTAATCGAAGTATTGAAACCTTAGTTTTCTACTGAGATATGTCTTGTGCTGTAATAGTTGATACCTTAATGAATGTGGAGGTGAGACGACAGATTCTTCAACTTCGGTCAATCTTGTTTATGTTGACGAACCTTTTCCGTTGGTGCATAAAATCCATGTAATTGAGTTCATATGGTGATAAAAACGTGTGTCTAATCAGTAGAGAGATTATCAAATGTAGTTCAATCAGCACTATCTTTTTCATTATCAATTTGCTAGGCCGTGCGTTATCATATTTTGTTTTTTCTATGGTCTGTAAAGCTTTGCCATGGTCACAGATACTTTGATGGATTTCAGGGGTGTGCTTTACATGCAACTATGGAAAAGATTGCGGACACCATTTCTTCAAGAAACTGGACCACTTCTTTCCTTAATGCTATACTTAAACATTGTCGGTTGCAAATTCATGATGTTCATCTGCTGGTGCAGTCTTCCATCGCAGATGAACCCTTTTCATGTTTTTCGAAGATAATGGAGATTAATGCAGAATCTCAATTTATCAAGCATGGATGCATACTTAATGGAGTCATCAGTTCATGTTTTGTTCCTTGGAGTGAGAGCTCTTTAGTTTTTGATATCAGAGGTTTTGAAACTGGATCGAATTATAAAGATTGCATCACCCACATTGTTCCTTTAACAGACCTGGTGATTTCCGTTGAATTGAAAGATCTTCAGCTTAAAAGCCTCAGTGTCTGTGTTCCAAAATTAAAGCTCTTATTTTCTCCATCAGATCTTTATATCATACGAGCATCTAATGCAATATCATCCAAAGAAGCCAACTCTCCAAGAAATGGTAGGCTACTATGGGAAATAGCTGCTCGCAGAATTAGTTCCCTGATCTCTACTCCGAGATATTCGTTGGGAAAAGTAGTTGACAGTGTCTGCCTGTGGTTACGTTATGTCCGTGCTTATGAGAATTTACTTGCACTAGTTGGATATCCTGTGGACAACATGATAAAAAAATCTGCCATCATGATGTCCAGGGACAAAATTTTTTCAAGATCTGTAAGGCACCACTGGGAAGAAATTTCTGAATTTGAGAAAAAACTGCCTGCAGAGGCCATTGCACAGGCACGGCGAATAATTCGCTGCAGAGTGGCGTCAAATGCTCAATGGACTAAAGATAGTGGTAACAATCCACTCGTCAATAATCAATTCAAATTCTTCTGGAAGATGCTTCACTTTCTGATCTTTATCTGGAGTATTGTTTGCATCGTATTCAAGTCAATTCTTCACTTTTTCTTTTTGCAAAGCTCTTTGGCTGACCATCCAAAATGTAATTCCGGAGTTGTGTCTGAAGATTCCTGCCCAAAGCATTGTTTCTTTCTAAATGTGGGAGAATTTTTGATCACCGTTAACCCAGCAAATGCACTTCAGCCTCCTGTTGGTAGAAAACCAGTCTCAGGTATTGGGATCTCATATCCAGATTTGCTTTCATTTCGCCTTTCAGTAGATGTGATTTTGGTAAGATACACCGAAAATTTATGTGAACGGTCCTTTTCATTCTATTGCGGGTCCTGGAAGGTTGTTTCTTTTCTTAAAGAATCCAAGAAGAAAGTTCATGATTCGCAGACCTCTTTATGGGGTGAGCCTGCTCAAATTATATACTCTACAAGTAGTGGAACCAGTTTTGCTAGTGGTACTGTAGGGACTTCTGTCCCAATTTTGGAACGTCTTATAGAAGAAATGTTGTTTGATTGGAAAGAATTTTGCAACAAAATTGAAGGAAGTAAGATCCAGGATTCTAAAAATCCATGCCTTATGTTTGAGATTAAATACTCTTTGACAGATCAAAGCCTCAAGGATCTGAGCATGGGGTTTTTAAAATGCAGTTTGGCAGTAGAAAAATTGAACTTCTTCTTGGGATATTCGTCAATAGTATCAATATCTGCACTTCTTAGACAGATAAAACATGCTCTTTGCTGGACGGACAGCGCCATGGGGAAAAAAGTAGTTGTACATACTTCAATTACCACTGAGGATCCACCAGTGCTGGTTAGGAATGGCCAACGCAAGTCATATTTCATTGGTACCGAAATGGTTATTCCTGGGATGCTGCCAGAGATGCATATTCAAGTTGGAGCACTCTTGGTGGGCCCTCACATCCAAATATCCCTGAGAAAGGAGGGGTCTCATACTGGGAATGCAGATCTGAAGCAGAAAGATAGGCAGGAATTGCACCTTTCCTTTGATGTTCACAATGTTGAATTTGTTGTTTCACCAACTTCGAGATCTGACTTTGCAGCATTAGCTGGGTACACAGCAGTAAATAATACAGAACCAGAGTGCCTTTGGCTGAAGGAGCCTCAGAAGCTTGACATTCCTTTACCTGATAGTAAATTTTACAATGGTCGAAGTCAGATTTCACTCAATGCTTACCTGAAAGTTCAGGGTTTGAATGCTTTCCTTGGGGAAATATCGGCAAATCAAAAGGACGAGATTATTGTACTGAATCCGACAACTGTAAAGTTATCACTCTTAAGGTCACATTCTGGCCTTCTGATTTCATTTCTCTTCTCTTATTATTTTGCAACTTTTGTAACACAAGCTAGTAGCAAGTCATTGTTCTTCTTTACTGCTGATTATTATAAATCACATTGTTCTACAAGTGTATTGGTTCAAATGTTAATGTTCACCTCTGTTGATATTTGTCTATTTGTTCTGTTATTTACTAGTTCAAGTTTACTAGTCAGTTTGTCAATGCATGCATTCTATAATTTACTGGTTTGAGTTTCCCGGGTTGCTTAGAGAGAGGTGGGGGGACAAACACACACTGTGGCTCTTCTTGTCGTAATAGTGAAATTAGATTGTTTCTATGGCAGGGAGGATCTTCATTCATTTGGTGCAACAGTTGTTGCTATCTCTGCAGCTTTGCATTCGATGGCTACTGGAATCACTATATTACTATTTCTGGATGAGTTGTTTGTTTTGGTCGAGGTAATTCTCCTATTTTTGTTGCCTTATATTTTCAATAGCATTGTTTTGAATGATGAGCGAGCTCGACTGTTTTGCAAGCCAGTCGAGGTGGTCTTCCTTTACCAAATTGCTGAGTCAACCTTCAAAGCCATTTTGCTTATCATATGCAAGTGGAGCAGTGATCCATTAACCGACACATTGCAAAACTATGAACTACACTATAGCACCTATTGTAGTTTTAAGTTTAGCTTGAGCTATCCTCGAGTGTAACTGATAGCTGGAAAACCTTGAACTACTCGACTGACTCCTGGAGAAAATATTTGTCTCCCTTATTTTTTTTTTTCTTGTCTTAGCATAATATTTATGGGGTGAATATTATTAGTGTTGATGGTCCTACATGAAGTGCCAGATTGTTAACAAATGGTTTGTGGCCAGGGTATCTTGATTTTTCTTAGCCTGAATTTTGAATCTGGAAGTTTGCATTGAAGTGTGTCTCCATGGGTAGAACTTATTTGTTGTGAGTAACAAACCAGTTGGGATTTTTGGCATAGCTCTGCACAAGAAGATCTGTCAGAGTATTATTGCTTATCATTGATTCTGTGAGTCAGGACTCTCTTACTGCTGTCGTGACCTGTTAGGGTGCTGTGTCTTTGATTTGACTAGTATAATTTACATCCAACAACTTAGTGGTTCATTATCTCAACTACATAATATGATTGCAAGACATGATTTTTTATGCTGACTGTTGTGTATAGAATTTTAAGTCCTCATGATATATATGCTAGTAAGTTAGTTGTTACATTCAAATAAAATTGTTAGCATATATAGGAGAGTGGTAGACTTGTAATAAATATATATCTTAAGGGGTATATTAGTCCTTTGTTTTTACAAATATATATACATGGATGAGTGTGGGCTGTAGGTTCTCTGCCTTCAGTGTTCTCCTCTCTTCAAATCCTAATTCTTTCATATATCAGAGCCACCCTGATATTCTCTTCTTCTCTAATCTTCCTTATTTCTTTCTTTCATCTTTCTTTTCCTGCATCAGTGTGTGAGGATCTTCGGATTCTGAGGTCTGTCACATTTTCAGATCTGTTGAAGAATTATTATTGATGGCTGGGTGTTAAGTTCTTCCTGGGCTTGTTTCCATGTGTCGCCGGTGAGGTGGGTCATTGAAGGTCTGCTTGTCATTGTGCGCAGTGGATATTGTGATCGAGTGTTGTGGATTTCTGGTTGGGTCCCATTGATTGTTGTTAGCTGGGAGTGAGTTGCCGCGTTGTGGGTTGAAATCGTTCTTTTGTATTGTGGTCACCGGCGGCGCATTTTGGTGGTCATGATTTGAACTGGTGAAGAAGACGATGGTGTTTGGCTATAGGGATAGGATTAACTATCCCTGCTTGGCATCTTCCTTTGGTGGCTATCTAATCCTAATTTTGTTTAATTTAGTAAAGCCCAATAAGGTTGGCCCAATTCTGTTTGAGTAGTTCAGTCCAGGACCAGTCCGAACTAACCCTGTCCACTTGTTTTATGTGTGCACTTCTTTGAGATCCTTGTACATGTTTATGAGATCAGAGGTGGTGGGGTGTTATTTTCTTAATTTATGAATGCATCAAACTTAATTTCATGCATTCTATGGCTTGAAATTTCTCTTTGTAGCAGGCAGTTTTTGGGTTATGTTCTGCTGTTTCACATCCGTTTACCACGTTTGATTTAGCTGGTGTTGTAAATTGTCAAGAATTAATCAGGCAAGAGGTGGTGTTTGTTGATGTGGAAAGTGAGGGGTCATTGCTTGGTGGAACACAAGGGGCATCCTCGATCTATATGAACACTATATTTGTTGCTAACAACATTTCTGAGCTGAAGTCGTTGGATATAGTTCTTCATAACTCCAGGAAAACCTATAATATTGAGGATTATGTGAAAACGGTTGATGGCGTGAGAAGCAAAAAATTGGCCATGCATGATCTACCTGATTATGGAATTTGCATTTTGGTTCAACAATCATTTATGGACTTTTCCTTTAAAGATGGGAAAGTGGAAGTTCTTATTGATGTTTCTGAAGTTCGGTCTGTTGTTTTTAGATTTGTGAGTGAGGTGGCGAAAAGCTCTGGTGAATTTGCACCCGATCAATTTCGACTTGAAAATCTGCTGCTGCATTCTCTCAATTGCTTGTATGAAGTGTCTATTCCTCGTTGCACATTTTCCTTGTGGTTAGGATTGCTTCAGGAACCTTCTGGAAGTGTGAGCAATGGGGTTGATGCTTCTACTTCTGGTGGTAAAGTTTCGCACATGGTAGAGGATTCCCCACGGACAGTTGATACCGAAAGATATGGGGTTCAATCTTTCAGTTTTGGTCAGAAATTGGGATTCACATCAAATATACTAGCTCCACCCTCAAGTCATTGGTTACATGTCAACATTGCCCTGAGTGAAGTTTATCTAGCAGGTTGCCCCGAAAAGAATATTCTGGTTGGAGCACATAATTTGAATAAGCTTGATGCATCACTTTCTGTTGGGCGACAATTTCAGGCAATCTCGTGCCAAACTCAGGTGCTGACTTTTTAAATTAGAGAAAATTTGACATTATCCTTGTCACTGCAGTTTAACGATTGCTCTCAAATTAACCTTGAATACCACTTCTCATGCATTTGATTACTTGTGGCTCCAAATTTTAGTTCTACAGTATTCTTACTGTGATAAAAAAAAAATCAGAATCCTCAATTATATCATGAGATTGACATCTATGCTATGCTATTGGACAGGGTGGGGTTATATTCCTTGAAACCACAGCATTGGTAATATTTGTACATTGTTTTACTGCGTATTGTCAATGCATCAATAATCTTCTTTTTGTTGCACCATCATCTGGGGAAGGCATAGTGGCCGTACATGGCAAGGATCTCGCTACGATGGGTAACTATCCCACTCAAGAAACAACAAAAAATATACTTCAAGAAGTAAAGTGGGAGCAGTTGGTAGCATTGACCATTGATCTTTCTCACCTTTCTTTTGTACTTGTGACCAGCGATGAATCTGGTAACAACTTTCCTTTTTTGTTGTTGTATGTTATAGAATCCTGCCAAATGTCATTGAGCGTTCAACTCTCGTGCAGGCAAGCTTCAGGAACTTCTGTTTGAGGCTGATATTCATTTGAGCCTTGAAGTGGCAAACATGAGAAGAAAATTCTCATTTGATATTTTGAAACTGTCGATTCTTTCACAAGTCCTCCGTGAAACCATGGAACAACGAACCAAGGAAATTCAAACTCCTCACGTTTCTTCTGTCATGACTAGTGGTTTGTCTGGTCAGTCTACAGATGGAAATTCCACTATAGAATTTGAGCATAGGGATAGGATTCATTCAGTTGATAGTGCAAGTTGCTCAAGCACTTCTGTCTCCCAAAAGGAATCTCATGCGGATAATTTGAAAACTCAAGTCTTGCATTTAAGTCCTCAAAACTACATCTTAAAAGAGTTGAGCGCTTTTGTGGCAGTTGAGCAGCCCATGGCAAGGGATGTGATTAGTCCCATGCACATAAATCAGGCTTGGGTTGGCAGTGGTTCTATCTCAGGTTTTGATATAACAGTCTCTCTGCCCGAAATACAGGTCAGCCATGTTACAGCGTCTTGTCACTCTTCTTTCTGAATATATTAGTGCCATGGTCTATATAACATCTCTCATTTAACTTATAATTATCTAATTGTTACTCGTGTATGCATTCTCATCTTTTTCTATACCATATTTAATGTCAAGAGAACGAGAAATTTTACTTAAATATAGAAAGTAAAAGTGTGCATAGAGTCATGGAGGAATGATATATCCTTGTATGGTAAAGATGAAAAAACAAAGAAAGATCTGCAGAATCCGGATGGAACTCCTCACCTGGGTTTCATACAAGTTCACAGAAGGTAAAAATGCCCCCCCCCCCCCTTCTCCCAAACCCACCCAAAACCAACAAAAAAACAAGATACAAGAAAACACAAACTGCATGGATATTGTATTTGGCTTTTATTTCCTTCTTTGAAGTTAATGAAGCCTAAGTCAGTACAAGTTGTCCAAGGCTACTGGTTATGTATATATCATTTTTAGCGGCATAGCATCTTTACCTCTTACCGGGCTTTCCAATGCTACTTTGGCCGTGACTGACTATGTTTAATTGATTTTATTGTGTCAGATGGTACTTTTTGCTGTTGAGTCTTTGTCTGGGGTTTTCAGCAAAGAGACAACTAACAATGTGGAACAAAGGCAGTGGTCCAGTAACCACGAATCTGAGAGAAGTTTGCAAGAATTAGTTTCTGATGGTATTTCTATTTTTTAGCAACTTTGTGCTGTAGAATACTTGTTCTGAATTAAGTAATATTTAACTTAACGGGGTTTTGTTATTGGTATAGGAGCTATTGTTGCAATCCAAGATGTGCATCAACACATGTATATTGCTGTTGAAGGTGCTGATAGCAAGTACAGTTTAGTTGGTACAACTCATTATTCGCTTGTGGGGGAGAGGGCTCTTTTCAGGGTATGGGATCTCCAAATTTTATTGCTTGTTGTGTTATTGTTATATACTTATTTCCCACATTGAAGGCTAGTTTTCTTAACATAAATTACAATGACACGGGAAATTCTCTAATTTTTTTACTCAAATTCACAGCTGCCCTGCGGTAATACTTCGGGCTTCCTTTCATATTGAACAATAATATTGTTGTGACTTTTTGATGGGTTAAACTATATCATCTGGACAAGGAAACTTAATGTTTACTGTTTTCTTCTTTTTCTCTTAAGACTTCCAGTAATGATTAATTATGTAATCCATGATGAGGCCAACTATTCCACTTTTGAGCTTATTTGGCTCCCTAGGTTTTTTAAAATGAAGTTTGCCCTTGTTAAGTTTTTAGGCTTATGTCTTGACCAAACCAAACCAAAAAACAAGTCCTATGTCCTAATCATTTGGGGTCGGTTATATGAGTCTATCATCCGCTCATTTAAGTTAAAAATTTTTATATCTTTTTTTATTATTTTGTTCAATATTAATTTAGATTTATCTCTACTTTTAGTACCATTAAGAGAAATTATCTCACTTTTTCGAACCAGTGCCTCTATCGGCCTCCGTTGAACACGACCAAACCATTTTAATCTATTTTCTCTAAACTTATCCTCAATTGGAGTTACTCCTACTATTTCTCTAATACGGTCATTTCTTATTTTATCATTTCTAGTTTTTTCACACATCCACTTTAGCATTCTCAGTTCTGCTATACTCATTTTGTCACTATGTTGTTTCCTAGTTGCCCAACATTCTGTTTCATACAACATTGTTGTCCTTATAACTGTTCGATAAAATTTACCTTTCAATTTTATTGGTATCCTCCTATCACATAATATGCCAGAGGCTTATGTCTTGACCAATCAAGTTATTTTCCCCCTTATATTATTTTTGGCTTCTCTTATTAATTTGCCAACCCCTTGATATTGAGCTTTTCATTCCCTCATGGATGACTATGCTCCTATGCTTTCTTTTCAGTGTGGGTGACATGTATCAGGAAGTTATGAGGATTGGGTTGAGTTTTGCTTTCTCTAGCTTTTCTTTCAGGATATCTTGTCCTCAATATTTTAATTGTGCTCTCAATTCTCATCTATTGTAGAATTCATCTCTTATGGAAATGAAAGGGGAATTTGCATTGGCTTCCCATTTAGTGTGACATTTATGGAAGTTTCAATAATGAGAGTCTTTACATTAATTTTGAATGACATGAATGATCAATAATTCATTTTACCATTCCTTGTTTGTTTTTACTTTATCGTAAGACTTGCTATTATATATTATAATATAATCTCCCATCAAACTTATACTTAGGTGAAGTATCACAATCCAAGACTATGGAAGTCACCCGTTCAATGGTTCTCTTTGATTTCATTGCATGCGAAAAGTGATTCAGGGGAGTCACTAAAGTTAAATTTTCGCCCAGGCTCAGGTTTTGTTGACATTTCCAGATGTAACGACAGTGGGTGGGCACTTTGGAGAATGCTTCCTTACAAACCTCAAACTTATGAGGGTGATACTCAGCTGGAATCTTATAGTCCTATAGCTAAAAAATCATTTTACCTTGTGAACAAGAAGAATGACTGTGGTATAGCTTTCGTTGATGGGGTTTTTGAATTCGTCGGCAAACCTGGAAATCCATTTAAGTGGAAAGTGTTCCCTAATCCTTCGTTAGCTTATGATAACTTGTTACCAGATAGCTACGCAGCTGGGGCATCTAGAACTAATCTGCTGGATCTTCCTATGAACGAGGACAGAAACTCTGAGCAAATTGGAAAGCTCTCCTGCATTAATGTTACAATTGACAAAGTTACTCTGACCATTGTACATGAACTTGCAGATACAAGGGAAAAGCTCCCACTCCTCCAGGGATCTATCAATACTACTGATTTTGTTGTACAGATTCTGTGCACTAAAGCGAGGATTATGAGCAGATTAGAGATGTTGCTATATTATTTTGATGCCCAGAGAAACTTATGGTGAGTGTTTGTATTTACGAGTGCAAGTTATCCTATTTTCTTGCATTCCTTTGCAATATTTGGGACAGCATTTATGCTCCCAGATCGTAAACATATTTTAATAGTTGGGTGTATTGTTTTCATGATTTCAGGAGAGAATTTGTTCACCCAGTTGAAATATGCATTTTCTATCGCTTTAGGTTCAATCTCCAGGTTTCAGAAAATGTTTCGCTCGGATTGCCTGTTCATTTTAATTGTAATATCAAAGAGGTCGGGGTCATGATATTTGAATTTTTTCAATTAGTATCCATTACTGAGTTGAACTTTTTTAGCCATTCTCATTTTACTGTTGACAGTTGAGCATATCAATAACTGAGCTTTCGTTGGACATACTTCTCTTTGTGATTGGAAAGCTGAATTTGGCTGGGCCCTATGCAATAAGAAACTCCGTCGTTCTGGCTAACTGCTGCAAGGTTCCGTACTTATCTATATATTTATATGTTTGAAGCATCTGTCTTTGTCTCTTTTTCTGTTTGAGGTATGTATTCGTTCTGATTGTCATTTTCCATGTTTCCTGTTAATGTCGGAGTAAACAATTAAACTACATATCCTTTTATGTACAATTTAATAGTGAGAAAACAAAAGCTAAAAGGCTGAAAGGGTTAAGATTAAATATTTAATCAGAATTGTAAATGAATTATCCTCCCTAGTTGTGACCAAAGCATTGTGGCCTTTAGTAGGATGTCTAATTGAAACTTTATTTGCGAAGGACCACGTATGCTTGGTCCTGCAAAAGAGATATTGCTAGAAGATAAATGTGATTTCTTCCTATTTGGATACATCTCATATGGTTTACATCTGTTTGGTTTGGTTTGTATGATGTAAATTAAAGATTGTGGCTTGGGCTGTGTAAATCAAGGGTGGTGTCAGAGGAGTCCATCTTGCACATGCCCAGAATCTGAAAGTAACAAAATTGAAATTGGGCATATGGCCACGCCTTTTGAATACTTGTCATCATGTGACCAAGCAATATTGGATGTTGAGGACTTGTTTCCTTTTTAGCATGTGGAAAGTGTTATTGGTGATAAATCAGAATAAATTCTGTATAATTGATGGAAAAAATTGAGCATGCACCGAGTGGGTGGGGGTGAAGAGGAGTCAGTATGATTTGTTTTCATACACATGGGCGTATTTGCTTATGCATGCATATTCTCGTGCCAATGTATGATTACTGTGATTTGGAGTCCCAAACATCATATAACCACAATGAAGTAGAATAGCTTTAGTGTAGGACTTTTGTAGCTGGGTTTGCTTGGTTTTGTTGTTTAAAAGATAGGAAGACGGTGGCTGTTAAAGGGCCAAATTAGGGAAAGGACAAAGGTTTTAGTGCCCACAATAGCAAGGAAAGAGGAGTGTTCAGAGTGGTGCTGCGAGCACTATCTTCTAGTAGTAACTATGTTTGGTTTGTGTTTTTTTAAAGTTTTTAGCTGACAAGTTGCGGAAAAAACTAGTGGCTTGATGCAAGGAATTAAATTTTGTGTCGAAACATCTGAAACGTTCCTTTTTCCATGGAAAATGAAACAAATCATTGATTAAATATCAAAATTCCTATGTTTTGAAGTGTTTCGAGGTGTTTCGTTAGATTTCGACTTATGTTTCGGAATGTATCGTTTGTTTCGACTAATGCTTTGGAAACAAATTTTTAAATTTTTTCTTTGTTTCCTTTTTGTTTTCGAAATATTTCCGAAACATTTCCGAAATGCTTCTATTTCCAAACTCACCGAAATTATAGACCGAAATGAAATTTTGGTCCTTGGCTTGATGACAATGATACAACAGGAGTTGATGGGGTTTAAGCCAATTGTAAGGGGGTCTGTGAGAAATTTATTCGATTTAAGCTATAAAACCTCAATTCTTATTCTTTGCTCCATTTTATAAGAGAGAGAGAGAGAGAGAGAGAGAGAGAGAGAGAGAGAGAGGGGTTGCAGGGAGAACTATGAACGTTCTCTCTCTCTCTCTCACACACACACATTGCCCATTTTGATAAATGAACAATGCTACACTTACCAAAAAATTTGTCAAATTTTGCTTACCAAATCAATGTAGATTGTTGGATCAATAGGCCCCACCAACTTTATTCAGCAGGACCTACTGATCCAACCATCTACATTCATTTGATAAACAACTTTTGGTAAATGTTTTGGTATGTGCATCATTATTCTTGATAAACATGGAATTTGTCAGGAAGTGGTGGTGATGATTTTTGACATGGCAGGTTGAAAACATGTCCGGCTTGACCCTTCTTTGTCACTTTTATGATAACGAAGATGCATCAATTGCTAATGGTCAATCCACTACCATTTTCTTAAGGTATATATGCTGCTTCTTTGCAAAAAGTTTTGCTCATCAACATAGTTTTATTTTTGAGTTTGTTTTGTTTATTTGAATGTCTCTTTGTTGTGTAAGGATATTATTAATGTTAATTAATACTGTCTGTAAGGCACTTATCTTCAGTAAATCAACCTCCGGAAGCGTCGTTTTTCTCAATCCAGCTTACGGACCAAGGAGCTTTTTCTACTTCTCCTATCCGGGTGTCACTTTCAGAAGAACGAGCATTTGCTTGGAGAACACGCATAGTTTCATTACAAGGTGGGTTCAGCCTCTGTCCTACCCTTCCCTGTGCAACCTTAAAGAGCAAGTACTGGAACACAGGTGTTCATCCCCAGTTGAAATGCATTGAAAATATCTAAATGAAATATCTATATAATTTATATTGTCTCTATGTGGGGCCTAGATATATTTTGTCAGATAAGAAAACTAAAGGAAAGCAAATAGTTGAAAAAAGTAATGAATGTGATTGAGCATACAAAAGGTCAAAAAAAATGGAGGAGGTAAAGACTTGTTGGCATCTGATGATGAAGATATTGATGCCGTCTTCAAACTGAAGATCTAGATGAAAATGTGATTTGTAGGACTATAAGGATGGATTGTTTTGAATTTGGCTAATCTTTAAAATTTGATTTTGATGAATTATGTTGCAAACTTGAATTGTTAAATTTTGTTTCAAAAATTGGTGTCTTTTTAATCTTGCATGAAATTTAAGTTAAAATATAATTTATATTGATTTAATTGAACTATAAATGTATGCATGTGTCATGTATGTATAACTGTATCTCACGATACGATATATGATATACTATTTTAAGAAAAAAATAACAGACAGCATGTGTTGACAATCTTGATTCCAAGACAAGCTAATTTTTGATTAAGCACAATAGTATAATGAGGTTAAAAAGCGGGCAAACGCACATTAATTTGATAGATATGATGGAAGTGGAGGCTTTAAACTTTCTCTCACTGGAACTTGAGATAAGGACTGCAACACTATACGAATGAATGTATTGAGATTATGAAGAAAGAGTCGATAAGTAAGAGATAAATGCTAAGATGCAAGGTAGGTTGGGATGGGCTAGGTTGAGAACTTGTGATTTGTTGACAAGCTTATATCACCATTTTGAAGTATAAGTGATTTCAACTACTCAATTCCCATCTGGGTTAATCTCGCTGGATTTCTTAATTGCAGTAGTGATGCAAGACTATCGTATAATTCTGTATTTTTAGGAGTTTAAGATTGAACTTTTCTCATTCATGATCAGACTCAAAGACTTATCCTGGGCCATTCGTCGTGGTTGAAATTTCAGATAGAAGTGAGGTATCTTCTCTAATAATTGTTCTTGTGATGGGTATTTATTGAAGGTTTGAAAAAGAAATTCCAATCAATTCTTTTATCTCCCCTTTTTCTATGTGTAGGATGGTGTGTCAATTGTGGTATCGCCTTTACTAAGAATTCAGAATGAAACTGATTACTCTATGGAGCTGCGTTTTCAACGGCCTAAACAAAAGGAAACTGACGTTGCTTCTGTGGTGCTGAATGCGAGGGATACAATTGATGATTCTATGGCAGCTTTTGGTGCTATAAATTTGTCCGGTGGTCTGAAAAAGGCATTGGTGTCTTTGAGTGTTGGTATGGATTGAGCTATTTTTCTTTCCCTTATTTTCTTTTTAAAGATAGAAATTACACTGTCATTTCTTGTAAGCAAGGCAAAGAGAATTGCCCACATATTCATGGAGAGTTATATTTCCTGGTTGTATATAAGATATAAGGATGTCACTATGTCAGCCAAAGGCGTAGGCTTCAAAGGCAATTGTGGGTCTGATTTGACCCATTTGAGGCAGTCAACAATAACATACACAAAAAGTGATCAAACTCAGCGAAGAAGGAAAAGAAAATAAATGGAAGAAAGAAAAAGAAAATAAGCTGGTGTTGGATGTTGATAAGATGATTTATACGGATATACAACATGTCTCTGTTCCTCCACATCATAAGCAGAAGAATAAATTCATGTTCTTGCTATAGAAAATGACGTGATAATAGGTTTGTCAATTAAGCTGATGTTTCATTTTCATCAATCATCATATATTCAATTTCCTTAAATTTTAAGACAATGCTGCACCTTTCTCCGAAGGCATCGACTATTATTTTTCTTTATTCGTTTAACAGCAGGCTGAAACCTCATATACCAGACTCGGGCCATCAAGGCATTACGGTGTCATTGAATAGTTTGTGAAGCCCCCAAAATAAATATATGTAGTTGTGTGCCTTGTATCAGGTGAAGACTACCTTGGGACAATCACTTTCTCTCTTGAAATGGCATCCACCTTGAGGAAGTCTTTGCAGTTGGAAACCTGGGAAGGAGGAACATCAAGAAAATGTTTATAAGATGTACAAACACTTATTCTGGGTTCCTTGAGGGGAGCTGAAAGATGATGTCTCTTTCCTTGGTTTGACTAAGTAACTAAAATTATTGCAAAAACAAAAAATGTGATGAGTTGGAAAAGATTCAAAAGTAATATGTGGTTGACATCCAAACGAATGCAGCCACTTTGTTTTCAAAATTCGATCCAATAACCTTGGGTTGTAAGTTCAAACCTGAGGGCAGCCACTTTGTTTTCCTCCATTTGACTTTGAATTTTAATCATGTAGTTCTGTGTTTCAGGCTGCGGAAGTGTGGAATAACTTGCCTTTGTTTTGCAGGAGTGCTTCTTTACCCCCAAAATTCACATGATTTGTAATTGATTTGCAGGTAACTTCTTATATTCTTTTAGACCAAGAATTACGGAGGACTTGGGTAATTTTAAGATTTCATTGGTGGAGTGGTCAGAAGATCTTAAAGGCGGAAAGGCTATTCCTCTATCTGGAATATTTGATAAATTAAGTTACCGTTTCCGGAGGGCCTTTTCTGTTGAATCAGAAAAGTTTTCCTTAATTACTACACATTGTTCTCTCAAATCTGAAGCTGGGGATGTTGCTAACTTACATTTCCTAATTCAGAGCATCGGAAGGAATATTCCTGTTGTACGTCCCGATAACTTCGGGTATGCCTCTGAAAGTAGAAATTCACCAGTTGCACTCCAAGAGCAGAAGGAAATCTTTATTCTTCCTACTGTTCAGGTCTCCAATTTACTTCATTCCGAGATACATGTGAATTTGACCGATACAGGTAATAGGAAAATACAACTGGAATATGGTTTTAATCTGTATAAGTGTTCTTGTCACTGACTTTCACCTTGGGCAGATGCACTGGCCTCTGTTAGCTCGGGCAATTTAGGCAATCAGGCAACTATTCCTTGTGGTTCAACTGTAAATTTTTATGCTAATCCCGCCACGTTATACTTTGTGGTTACTTTGACTGCATTTAATTCAAGCTGCAAACCAGTTACTAGTGGTGACTGGGTTAAAAAGTTACAGAAACAAAAAAATGATGTCCGTCATTTGGACATTGAGTTGAATTTTGCCGGAGCAAAATATTTTGCTTCCTTGAGATTGTCGCGCGGACAGAGTGGTATACTAGAGGTAGCTATTCATGCGACCCGCTTGTTAGCCAGACCCCCATTTTGGAAGTTAAATTCTGCCTTTGTTTGCAGGCTGCTATCTTTACTTCCTACACGCTGAAAAATGACACCAATTTTTCTTTGTTTTGCTTTGCTGCCAATCAGAAGCCTCTGCTTAGGTAGTGACTCACTCTTTCACTGTTTTCAAATTTGATTCAATGCAGTGTCCTTGTGATAACAAGTATCAATTCATGCAGGGAGGAAGCCGAAAAGCTAGGTTCCAGAATTCGTCCAGATCTAGGGTCTTTTTTGCCCCCCATGTCTAGTAGATCATGGTTCCTGAAGTAAATATGTCTCTTTCAGTTCCAATTTTTAATCTCACAAACATGATAATATAATAGGCATTTCTATCTGATGATGGATGTCTGTATGTAAATATGTTCATTAATTAATTGTTGGCTAATTAATCTTTTGTTGCCAATATTAGACACAACAGGTTGCGATTGAAATTATTGGAGGAGAAAGCATGTGAGGCACAACTGGACTTGGATGCATTATCAGGTATTACAGAGATAGACCTGGAAGTAGAAGAAGGACCTGGATTCAAAAATAATATGAAGTTGGGTGTGGCTTTAAGGCCGCATATGAGTAAAGCAGTTGTTCCATCACAAATAGTATCTATGAACCCTCGATATGTTGTAATCAATGAATCGGAGGAAGTTATCATTGTTCGTCAATGTTATTTGGAGGTTTGCTCTTATTCTGTCAGCTGAAAGTTGCCTTTTCACTTTAGATATGTTTTGTTTATTTTCTGATTTGTGCTCTTGTCATCTCTTTTTGAGAAGAATGACATGGAAGGCATGATTACCATCCACAGTAAACAGAAAACAGCCTTGAGGCTGCGGAAGGGAATAACCAAAAACAAGGAAACTAATATCCTTGAGAATTTTCTCAGAAAGCATATAAATGCTCTAGATGATTCGTTACTCCATATTCAGTTCCGACCAAATGAGGCTGGATTGGGTTGGTCAGGACCAGTATGTGTTGCTTCACTGGGACGGTTTTTTCTGAAATTCAGAAGATCCTTAGAATTTCCTGTACGAGAATCAGCTTATGTAACGGAACATGACAAAAGTTTATGGGACTTTGCGGCTGTTCATGTGGTAGAAGAAGGTTCTACTCTTCTTTTGCACTTCAACAGATCATCAAAAATTAACCTGCCTTATCGGATTGAGAACTGCTTGCGTGATGCTTCTATAGTTTACTATCAGAAGGTTGTCTCATTAGTCCTCCATTTTCATCAATCACTGTATGATTGAAACGATTTTGGATGGCCACTTATTTATCCTTTTCTTTTCAATTATTGTTGGTGAATTTTCAGGGTTCTTCAGAGCCAGAGAATCTGAGATCTGGAGGTAGTGTCAACTACGTTTGGGATGACTTGACTCTACCTCATAAGCTGGTGGTCCAAATTGATGGTAGGCATTGAGATTTAAATACTCAGATTTATGTATTTAAGCCCCTTTATATGCTGGAAAGCTGATCATGCCACTATAGCTTTTTATGCCTTCACACTTTAGGGGGATAGACCTCGCATCAAGTTTCATCATGAATTGTTTATGTTTCTTAATTGAAATTTGAGTATTTGCAGCAGAAGTTATTTTTCTAAATATTTAACAGAGGATCCTTACTTGATACGAAATGCAACAGTAATATCAATGCTATATTTATGTGTTCCAGCTTATGGAGTGCATGCTTGAATAATGAACTAGGGCAGCTTCCTATGAATCATCTTCTCCCTGCTCTACTCGGTTTGAATTTTGCGCATTACATCTGCTCATTTGATCTGGTCATTTTGGTCTCCAACTAAGTTTAGTGGCATGGTGACATGTGCTGCAGTGATTATAATCAATGAATGAGAGATTCCTTATAAAACTTGGGATGACAATGGGGCACGAAATTGTGCCTTGTGGTTAGTCATCAGGGGTAATTAGGAGGGAGATTTCCCTTGTAAGGTGTTGGGCAGTCGGCCCTAAAATGCCTCCCTAAATGCTGCTTTTTTGTTTGACAGCATCAGGGGATGCCATTCTTACAATTGATAATAGTTGCAGTGGTAACATTCTTGCTTACTGTTATGCATTTGAATAGGAGCCGAGGAGAGTGGTAATCACTTGCTCTAGCTTTCTTGGGGTGTAAGAGGTTTTTGAGGCTTGTTGCTGGTTCTTTTTGGTGTGGTTGGGTTATTCCCAGGGTTGTGGAGGCTTTGTTGAGCTTTTCAAGGGAAACCAAGTCATAGGAGAGTCAAGTTTTGTAATATTCGCGAGGCATGGGATGTTGCACCTTCATGTCTCATGTAGATCATTTGGAAGGAAAGAACCATATTAATTATGGCTGTTGAGCTTCAAATTCACAAGCTTAAATATATTTTCAAGGACATTATTTTGGTGTAAAAGAGTCATACCCCCAAACATCCCCCAAGAATCCTTGGTATGAGTTTAGGTGAATTGTTCTTTTTTACTTTTCTGAGTGTTGGTGCTCCTCGTAGACTTGGTGTGTACTCAGGTATTGTCCCTAAATTTTGGTGGTTTGAGTGGATTATTATTTGGCTTGCCAAGGGAAAGCAAAAGAGAGGAGAAAAAAGGGGTGGGGTTTGCTGGGCTAAGATTATCGGTTCTTTATTGGTTATAGCTTGGTCATGCAATTATACCCGAGAGACAGACCTTTTATCATACAGTTTGTTATATAATTTAAGTTCTTAAGTAGGGTTTCAGCTTTCTCAGTCTGATAAAAAATTTTGGTTGTGGAAATTGAAAGCTGCATGATATGCATTATGCTTTTTCTCTTTCCCTCTTTCCTCCTGTTGTTTTCCTTTTTCAATTAGATAGCTGGTCTTAAAGTCTATTCGTCCCTATACATACATTGATAAAATTACAAAGAAATACTGTAGCCCGTATGAAGGAGAAATTCTTCCTAGTGGCGCTGGCACGAGTGTATGCATGAGTTGAGCTAAACAGAAAGTAGTTTACATGCTTACTTCTGATTATGGATGCACGTTTCAGAAATTTAATTCTTGCAGTAAATTTAAAGCTATTAACATCTTGCAAAGAATATGACATGAAGTGAACTTTAATACTTTGTGTAATTTAATGGATAGCATCATGTTTTGGACTGTTTGTAGTGCCTCTAATACCATTTCACTAAGAATCATGGATACGGACAATTTCACTAAGAATCAGGGATACAAATACAGATACGGTCAGGATACAAATACAACGATATAGCAAAATCATAAAAAGTAGGATACGACTAGGATACGTCTATATGTATTATAGAGTGTTATTACAATACTAGGGATATGAGAGAATAAGAGGTAAAACACGTCCAAACCAAAACAATTTATATTGCTGCTTAATGGTGTTTTGAATCTAAGGTTAATATTCTAGCCTTCTAGGTTTGACATAAGCCATAAAGACTCATTATTTAAGCTAACCAAACTGTGAAGAATTGGCATATCTTGTGGCATATATGATGCACGTCCAAATGGAATTCTTGGAACAAGGAATACACATTTGTATGATTCATGGTTTTTACACATCTCACCTTACGAAGTATAAGGCAAATGTATCCACTGATACACATCCATGGATACATCGACACATAGCTAACGATGATAAATATTTTATTAATTATTTGATACGTATTCACGAGTATCTGACGAGTATTGGTATCCGATACGTGTCGGATATGGATACGTCACCCCAATCGAAGTATCCATGCTCCATTGCCATTGCACCAAACATTGATAAAAGTAGTAAAAAAGATTCTTAGTCTGTACGGAGGAAAAATTCTTACTAGTGGCACCATCAGGAGTGTGTGCATGAATTGAGCTACAAACAGAAATTAGTATACATGCTTACCTTTTTTTTTTATTATTGGTGCATGTTTCAGATATTTTATTTTTGCAATAAACTTAAAAATTGTTAACATTTTATAACGAATATTAAATGAACATATGCTTTATGTGAATTTGACAGATAGCATCATGTTTTGGACTGTTAGTTATGCCTCTGATAGCAATAGCCTGCTGATTGGTTAATTGAATCAAAAATTAAATTGCATCATCACCATCTAGCTTTCTTCTTGCAGATGTGCGTCTGTTACGTGAAATCAACTTGGATAAAGTGCGGCCTTGGAAACCATTCTATAGGTTCAGGCAACACAGAGGGCTGGGGTTTCATTTACCACTGGATAAAAATCCAGAAGACCAAAAAGGGTCTAGTTATGAATGGTTAAATAGTTTGGCTACAGTAAAGTTGGGTTATGAAGTATATGCAGATGGCCTCACACGAGTTTTGCGAATTTGCGAATTTTCTGATAATCGCAAAGGTGATACCATCTCCCACTCCAGTGCAAAAATGCAACTAAGAATCACCTATTTTGCACTTAACTTGCTTGAGCATGCTAAGCAGGTCAGTCTTAGGTTGTCTCAAGCTTGTTTACTATACTCGTCCAACCGTCCCATTTCTTATTTTCGAACTCTTTGTAATGTTCTATTGCACTCTAGACAAGAATGTTACATGGCATCCTTTAGAGAGATTAATGCTCTTAAGGTTATTTCTTATGTTTTGGTTAAGATTCAGTAAGTCTCTATGTATACTGCAGAGTTATTATCATTCACTGATGCTTGCATGTTATCATTCATTGGATTTTGTAGCTACTATGCTTCAAATGTCTCAATTTCTATTTTTCTAGTAGCGTTACTTACCTGCTGCATTTGCTCATACAGATGAGCAACGGTTGACATAAAAGTATTTGTTCCTTTTGACATTGCACTTAGAGCTGCCAATGAGCCAAATTTGGATTTTTTTTATGCTTGTTTTACTATTAGATCAAGCCTGAACTGGCCCCATATCACCTATTATAGGCTTATGAACAGGTGGTTTTATGGAGATTTTGTAGCTTTCCAGGGCTTTATGACTCCAAATTTGTTGCAGAGAACTGGTTTCATGTGTGCATTCCCTTGGAACTCATTTTATGGCCAAACCGAAGTGCCAAATTGATTATAGAAATATATTTGCTAAGGTTTTAAAATGTCATCCTTAGATATGTCGCTGGCAAATAACAGATTCTTGTATGGAAAATTTTTAATATCACTATTGTAACAAGTGTTGATGAGAAATCAGTTATCTTTTGTTATATTACAATACCAAAAAAGTTCAATTTTTAAGGGTTTCCATATTTCCCCAAGTCAAATGGCAATTGTGCTTTGGTTCTAATACTTACAAGATGGAGTATGATAGGATAACAAGTTGGGAAGTTCTTCTCCATCCTGCTTTCTGCCATCAGCGACTGTAGTTTCCCCCACATGTCCAGTAAGTTATCCTGGATATGGTTCAAAATGAGGGAATTAAAGTTAAAACCCGAACTCCTGCCCAGAATAAAGTATTAAACTTGGTAGTTTGGATGACAAACAATGATTTCAGTCAATTCTTTTGTGTTACACCCTATTGACCAACAAAAATAAATGACAATTTTTAAACAATAGAAAGAGTCAATCCAATAGAAAGCTGCATCTGAAGAATTGGAACAGTATGTATGATACGTCAAAAGTTCTGGAGCTCTTTTTTAAATAATGGATTGTAAAAATGGCTCAGCTGTATTAAATTTTGAAACATTAATTTGTTGCGAACATCCACAGCTGTATTTAGATTCTTTCTCTTTCATGATTCTGAGGGTGGGGTTGGATGAGTACTATCCCTTTGAGCACTCCCCCCCCCTTCCCCCTCCCCCTCCCCCTCATTTCCCCTCCCTCTTTTTTTTCCTTCACCCGGGTTGCATAACAAGAAAAGCATGCTTCTCTTGTATTTAGAATTTTATTGTAAAACTTCTGATGGAACAATTTCGTGGACCTAATGCTTCACCTAATTTACTGAAGGAGATAGGTACAGGCGACACACCTTACACAGGTATCATAGTTATGAGGCTCAGAAACATCAATCTCGATTCTATTTTCACTAATCAGCACAAATTTAATCAGATCCGAGTACAGGCAAGTAATTTTGTTGTGCAACTGCCTTCATTTCTGTTGCCAGTTTATCTTATAAGTGGTTGTTATGAATGAGATATGAAAGTTATGGATCCAATAGTTCAATTATTTCCTTGCACTGATTAGCCTTGTTCTTTATGCCAATGCAGTCTCTGAGTGTGGACCAGAAGTGGATAGGAGCCCCTTTTGCGGCAATGCTTCGTAGACGGCAATCTGATTACCGTGACACCAATGATGATGTACTTCATTTTGTACTCATTCTACTTCAATCGAGTTCAAATGTTAAACAAGTCAAATACTCGTCCATTGTCCTGCAGGTAAGATAAGGCTCTATGAGCCATTTCATTTTCTTGCTATATGAATCTATTATCTGGATGTGTGGTAACTGGCATAAACATCAATGATCTGATTTGCTGATTTTTGTTTAAAATAACATGCATTTGCGAATCTCATGTAGCAGCAGTGCAGCACTAATCATGCGATTGGTTGTATTCTCAGCCACTTGATTTAAACCTTGATGAGGAGACACTAATGAGAATTGTTCCATTTTGGAGAACATCCCTCAGTGACTCAAATACTTCCAGTCAGCAGTATTACTTTGATCATTTCGAGATCCACCCAATTAAGGTTTGATATTTGAATTCTGTGCATGCCCACGACAACTTGATTATTTTTGTCCTTGATCATGGAATTAGCTCATGTATTTCTTTGTGTTTCCAAAGATTGTAGCAAGCTTTCTTCCAGGGGACTCTTATTCTAGCTACAGCTCAACCCAGGAGACATTAAGGTCCCTAGTGCACAGTGTGATAAAGGTGTGACATGAAGAATTTATTAGCTTATTTAAAATGTTTTGGAGTTTTACAGTTCAACCTTTGGTAAAAGATCTGTTTGTCTTGCTTCATATTGTATTATTGCTATATTATTTAATTCATTCTTTCTTTTTCTCCTATCCCCTCTTCCATCCCCTTACATTTCCTTAGATTCCTGCCATAAAAAATAATGTCGTAGAGCTCAATGGGGTCCTGGTAACTCATGCTTTGATAACCTTGCGTGAGTTGTCTATTAAGTGCGCACAACATTATTCATGGTAAGCCTTCATGTGTATTGTCATTAGATTATCCCGTCTTTATATTGACCGTGTGATTTAAGTCTGAAAATGTGTTTATTTGTCTAGGTATGCCATGAGGGCAATATATATTGCGAAAGGAAGTCTGTTGCTTCCACCAGCTTTTACTTCTATTTTTGATGACTTGGCTTCATCTTCTCTCGACCTCTTTTTTGATCCTTCAAGTGGCCAAATAAATCTTCCTGGTCTCACCTTAGGTATTATACTCCCCCCCCCTCTCTCTCTCTCTCTCTCTCATACACACACACACACACATTTATGGTCTTACGTGATTATAGCAACGCAGAATTGACTTTATTGTTGTCAATTCTGGTTCTTGATTTTGTGTTTTGTGTTTGTTTGCTTGCATGGTGAAGTTCATATAGTTCGATGGACCATTTTTCTTTGTGGGGTGTGGAAATGGATAGATACACATATTGTGGGCTTGGAAAGGGGAGTAGCCTCAGTGGTGCTATGCGCTGCTTAACTGCAGATAGCCTATCTCTGATTGTAATAATTTTGTGGGTATCAGTTTATTTATTGAATGCTGCTCATGGAAAGTGGCAGTTGGAGGTGCATCAAGGATACTTTTTTGTACCATAAAGTAACATCAGGCATTGGTGGAAAAATTTATTGTTAAACTTGGCCTCCATTTATTTGATGTTGTACTTACTTACTAGTTGTTTTGAAACAATAATCAGATTTTCTGTTATGCCATAAAAAAAGTTATGCATGAAATTTCAGATGAGGCAAAATTGGAAATTCTGCTTCAGTTGCCGTATTCGGCCATCATATGAACTAATTAGTTGTAAAGTTTTTTGACTGGATTATAGGCCAAGTTACTAGTGGCCACGATATAGACTTAGTATCTTGAGTATCAGTGACAGAAACCAGGACTTGCTTGACGTCCCTTTACTTTTATTTTGCTCCAATGACAAAATGCTGGACAATATGTCTGCATTCTAATCCTTGGTTGATGCTTAAATTGCTGCGGACAGGTACATTTAAGTTCATAAGTAAATGCGTTGATGGCAGAGGATTCTCTGGGACAAAAAGATATTTTGGTGATTTGGGTAAAACTGTAAGTTTTCAATTCACTTGATGGAATTTATGTTTGCTGCCTTAGTGGCTTAAAATATCAGAGCATGTTGTTTTTGCAGTTGAAAACCGCAGGCTCAAATATACTATTTGCTGCAGTCACCGAGATATCAGACTCAGTTCTGAAGGGAGCAGAAGCTAGTGGTTTTAGCGGAATGGTTAGATTAATCTTCCTGTGATCACATGAAAGTTTTCACATTATCAAAATTTCGGATTTAACAAATTGGATTCCTATGGTTTTCTTCAGGTCAGTGGTTTTCACCAAGGAATACTTAAATTGGCAATGGAGCCATCTGTACTGGGGAATGCCTTTGTGGAAGGTGGTCCAGATCGGAAAATTAAGCTTGATCAAAGTCCTGGGATTGACGAGGTGGTTTATTTCCTTTCTCCCTTATTGTCCCTTTTGTGTTAGTATGTAATGGTGGTGATGGTGGTGGTGGTAGAGGTCTTGTCTCAAGCTCATCTGGTTCTTTGCAAACCTTGGTGCCTGATAAAAGCCAATGTATCAATTATATTTTTAGCAGAGCAAATGCTCTCCTTTCTTCCTCAAGTTTCCAAGAAAGAAATGTTTAGAAGCCTGTAGTTGTACTCTCTATATATCGGTTTGTCTATGGGCTACATAGTAATAGAATAAAACAAAATGAGGGGGAAGAGCAGCTCAATCGCTAGAATATTGTGGTGGTTGATCTCTTCCCATTTGCAATGCACGTGCTGTTTTGTTTATTTCTATTTTAGTTTTGCAAGTTGTAATGTCACTGTTTATTCAAGTTTTCCACTAAATACTTTGCTAAATGTTTTAAATTTTGCAGTTATATATTGAAGGGTACCTGCAAGCTATGTTGGATACAATGTATAAACAAGAATATCTCAGAGTGAGTGTCATGGACAACCAGGTAATTTGTTTATTGGTGCTTGTGTTTCAATTGCAGGAATACATCTTTTAATTTGAAATTAATAGGAGATGGAACAAGTTTATGCTGAGAATCATAAGAAATACTTGTGATCTCTGCTTTTCTGGTTTGAAACATACACCGATTTCAGTGTGAGCAACCATCAACTTGAGAATTTTCCTAGGTTATATGCTCATTGCTTGCCCCAAGCTTAGTTCTGTATTTCCAAGATGACTTTGTTCATGCATTACAATTTGTTACAGGTTGTCCTCAAGAATCTGCCTCCAAACAGTTCTCTTATAGATGAGATCATGGAACGTGTAAAGGGTGTCCTAGTAAGCAAGGCCCTTTTGAAGGGGGAACCTTCAAGAACTAATCATCCTTTAAGCCTTATTCGAGGAGGAAGTGTAAGTGTGTCCCTATATCTCATATGCAAGTTTCTCCCTGAAGAATCTGTTATGTTGGAATCAGAATATGATCCCAATCACTAGTTTTAGGTGGTACCAGAAGAATAGTATCTAGAAATTTAAAAGCATAAGAGATCACATATCAGATCCATTGCACTTGTTCCGTTGTCTTTGTTTTATGCATGCCAAGTTGGCGCTGCACCATTCAGCAGTAACCCAACTCAATTGTAAAATCTGTTTCACACAATTGTTGCTGCCAAAGGAACGACGAAATGAAAATGCATACTCTGTCCGAATCAGTATTTAACTTAATTTATGGCGCACCGTTCCAGGCATTGTGTGGCCCTCTGTCCTGAACCTACATGGAATAACTTTCATATAACAATTTTTGTCCTCAGGAATGGAAAATTGGACCCACAGTGCTGACTCTGTGTGAACACCTCTTTGTGAGTTTTGCAATCCGTATGCTGAGAAGGCAATCTGGTAAGGTTATAGCCAGAGTCAAGTGGAAGGATAAAACGGTGGCCGATGATGAGAAAGCCATTATACCCGCCCCCACCAGCGACAAACAGAAGGTAAAATCTGTGTGGAAATGGGGAATCGGGAAATTTGTGTTTTCAGGTATAGTTGCATATATCGATGGAAGGTTATGCCGTTCTATTCCTAATCCTGTAGCAAGACGGATTGTTAGTGGGTTTTTGCTAAGTTTTCTTGACAAGGATGACAATGAATGAGCCCCCCCACCCACCCCTTCCCCAATCAAACACACAAGAAAAAAAAAATTGTGCCTTTTGTAATCCAGGTTCTCATGGCATGGGCAAATGTTTCGGCCATTCTTACTGTATATAATCAATTGGTTGACTTATATAGAAGAAAAGTGAGTAGTTATTGACTTAGATGAAGGATAGTTATTGGGTTGTGTCGGCTGTATTTTTTTACTTGATTATACATTATTAGTTAGTGATTTTACGTGACAATATTGATGTTGGTATTACCGTTGCATTGAATACTCATGTTTCTCATGGCATGGACAAATGCCTTGGGCTACCATATGCTTCCCTAGAAATAAATAACTTCCAGGAAGTGTAGGTGAAAAAAGTATCCAATTAAACGATGGATATGCTGAGTACTTTATATTATACGAAAAAATATTCAATAGTAACTATTATGACATGGTGTTATCATTTAATAAAAAATATGTAGGCAAGCAAAGTTTATTTGATCTATAGTAGCTATTGTATCCATTTAGTAACTATCTATTACGAAGTTATTAACTAATGAAAGCTGGCTGAATATAATTTCATAATTTTTATAATAGTAGATAATCCCTTATCCATTGAAGTGAGTTTTTTTTTTTAAGATTATTACCTGGGATTCAAGCCGGCACCCTTATCAGGGAGTAAGTATTGGGTGTAATGGTGGTATTATGTTATTATTGATTTGTGGTGTTTTCATCTAATAATAAACTTATAAATGGACGCAGGTAAATTTCACTTGAAATGACGTGCTATGGTGATTACTTGAAAATGTGAAATTTTTTTGTTTATTTGTTGTGTTATTATTAGATGGTGACATTATGTGACAATTGTGACGTCGTGTCATCGTTACATCCAATATTTTTTCCTTATCAAGACGGAGGGCCATATTGATGGAACGTGTATTCGGAGAAATTTGTATATTATTTGTATATTTTAATTATTGGGGCAGTTTTAATTTCATTTTACCATTGTGGGCAGAATTGAAAGTGGGTAAGAATTCATGTAATATACATGAACAAGCTGCCTTCTGTTTGATTCAAATAATCATTTATCAATATATTGATAGTTGGTGCCAGTTGCAATGTTGAAATATTTATTTTCGATAGCGTACCTTAATTACCAAACGAAAGCCTGACGAATCTAGATCAATGTTGGCACAGTACCTCCGCTCTTATCCTTGATAGTCAGACGGATCCGGATTTGGATCTTTCGCTGTTAGTTTTGTTCTTCAAAACGATGTTGTTTCACACAAAAATGATATTATTTTATTAAATAGAATGACATTGTTTTGAGGAACGGCACGTCTGCTATGTAGGAGAGGATGTGGACTCGTAATACACTCAAGAGGTGCAGCATGACATTTAGTCAATTTATTCATTTAGGCAGCACTCACAGCCAAGCCCCCAATACCCACAGAACTCAGAAAAACCACCTGTTTGTATTAAAACCCGAGGGAACCCCAAGGGAAGTAACAACCTAGCCGCTAACGAACCCACAGAAAAAATGTCTTCCAAACGCCTATTTATACTTACAATGGCTTTCTATCTCACACCCATCTCTATAAACTTAGACATCTTTGAAAGAAATGGCTTTCATGATATCCAAACACCAACCATCTTTCTCAGAGGCCGCCGAGAAGGTAAGCGTTTCAGATCAACGAGATGAGACAGAAATTATAAACTCAGTCACTAGTCAACTCTACTTGAAGTCGTCATCATCATCGGCTCATCACACTTCAGAAAAAGCTCTGGACAAAGATGTTGTTCTCAGACGACTTCGCCACCATAAGTGCTTAAACAGGATAAAAAATACTTTCGGAGCTTTGCTGAGTACCACCCCATCTGGTGGCCAGAGACAGAAGTGGCTGGAACAAGATGATGCTTTCTCGCCCCGTGACTTGGACCGACTGACTGAACAGGTTTTTGTCACCGGCCGATGACGGCGGGAGAGGGGGGTGGGTAATGGTGACCCAAAATAAGCTGTTTTACAGAGGTGCTGCTTACATTTTTCAGCAAGATCTTAATTCTTGCAATGTAAGTGCTATTTCATTTAAAAGACCATTCAAAGGTGAAATGAACTCCGAAGGTCACAAAACTTGCCAGATTGATGGCTTGTAACATGTTTATTGTTTTTTTTTTGTCTTTTTATCTACTTGAGTTTTAAGAATCTGTTTGAATTCTAATGGCCAAAGTCATCAATTAAAGTCAATATTTACATTATTTTCTTTTGGGTGAATTGTATTTTGCACCTTGAAAGGTTTAAGAATTTTAACTTTTGTACTCTCAAAAATTAAATTTTTCATATTGTCCTTCAATATATTAAAAGTATTACAATATGACATTCTCGTTAGTTTTCATTATTCATTCCGTCAACGTCAATAGAATAAATTTTGATGGATTGAGGTAATAAAATATAACGGAAATGTCACATTACAACACTTTTAATACATTGAGGGTGTAATGTAAGAGATCTCATCTTTCAGAGTGGAAAGTGAGAAAACTTGAAATCTTTCGGGGTGAAAAGTGAGATTTCCCCTGTCATTTCTGTCAACTGAGAATCCTACTACCAGTTTAAAAAAAAAAAAAACAGAGAACAGTACTAGTGTAGTGTACCTTAAAATACGCAATTCATTCACAAACCGCACATATCAGGTAAATCTAACTCCCCTACAAAACTTAAATTTGAGATCTTAATTGAGTAATATATGAAAACAAGGACAATTGGGATGAAAATACTTGAGGAATTGAGTAATGCTGGGATCCCAAATTGCATCCTATGTAAGTGTGGACCTGTGGATTTGCGAGTCCCGTGCACATTTTTTAATAGTACCCACTGATCTAATAATCCACACTTAGTTGGGATGCAATTTGAGATTTCAACTTTGAGATCTCTAGCATTATTCTATTGCGTATTGGGCCCTTTCATGAGAGGTTTTGTTTTGCATAACAGAGCACATCTGCACATGTTCATTTCTCACAAGATGGAAATCCTACAATGCAACTAGGCAATCCAATATTGTAAACCTAATGAGAGACATTGGGTCCTCTAAACAACAGTGCTAAAGTCTCAAAGATTAATTCCACTGAGAATAGTGGCCTATTAAATCTCCACCCTCTTTGGACTCTAAGTTGGCCGCCTTGGGTAATTTAAAATGAAAGGTGGTTCCACTTTTTCTTTCTATTGGTTAATCAAGGTGGATCCGCTTCAAGAAAGCACATCAGAGCCTTCAGAGATGCATAAATCCAATTTTAATACAATTTAATAGGTAATAATAGCCTATCATACCCAAAGTTTTCTTCTAAAACATGCTAGATATGTAGTTCTAATAAAAAATCTAAATTCTAATACACTGCTGGAGACTGAGAAATAGATATCTGTTCCCCACAATAGGATTTATGCAACCACTGACCCCAAACAATTAATTTATATGATATTGATTGTTCATCATGTCACTATGGAGCAAAGGATCAGCATCATCCTCAAAATAATGGATCAAAATTGAGAAGCTACCATTGTCATAATCCCTCATTGCTTACTTAGTAAACCAGATGTAGCAAGGAATCGTAATGCCTGGTTAGAATTTTTCAGAACTGCAGACGATCTTGAAACCTGCATCTTCCGTTTCTTTAAGAACTCCAATGAGTTCTGTGAGCATTGAGAAGGTGGGATGTCCTTCAAAATGACAGGTTCTAGCCTGTCAAACCATCAATTAGTGGAAAATTTTTTGTTCAGAATTTCACATCTTAACAAATTATTAATAAGCTGGGGAAGAATAAAAGAGAAAAAAAAGAGGACCCACCCAGAGGATTTGGCTGCCCTTTTCTTTTTGGAGGTACGCTTTTTCTCGACCTTCTCTTCCTCAGAGTCTGACAAAAAAACTTTCCTGCACATGATATTTTTCTCTTAATTGCGAATTATGTTAAGAGAAAGACAGCTAGTAGCTCCATAAGAGATACAAACACATGTATGTACACACATAGTGAGAGGAAATGGGGCAAGTTGTTAGGGAAAGAGGAGAGAGTAGCAGCGCATACTTCTCACGAGCTGCAAGCAGTTGGACAATGTCATCTGGGAGCATTCCCTTGTTATTCTGAGTCTCTTCGTGTGTCTCAGTTTCTATTCTGTCTTGAACAGTGTCACTCGCAGACGATGGTCGTGGTGTCAACTTTTGAGCCCATTGTCTGCGTCGTTCTTTTCCTTCACGAACAATCCTACAGAAAGCACATAGAATATATTTCATGTTGTGTAGAATGTAACTTAATGAAGAATCAATCCCTCATTTTGTACGATTTCCAGGCGCAGCAAAACAATATAGGAATACCAGCAGCACCAAAGCAAGCCATCAGAACACCATCAATAGTTTAACACTTACATGGGCCTCAAAGATTCTTTGAAGCATGGCAAAAGTATAAATTGTTATGTTTCCCAAATAGTCTCCATTAAGTCATAGGAGAGTTTGAAATGAACCACCACCAAGGTGGATTCATAATTAAGCAAGAAGTTTGCATCACAGCTCAATTAAAAGAGGGTAGACGTGGCAGTTAACGACCACAATGATGATAACTAAGGCTGTTCAAATTATTGCACAAAAAACAGTTTATGCCGCTCACGTCAATGGAAAGCATGTTTATCTGAATGAGAACTTTTCAAAGACAGATTGTTTAAATGATTTCTGCATATGTGTAAGTCCAGATGGTGTTTTGATACAAGTTAATGGGGTCAAGACAAGAAACTTAATTTTATACATATTTTCGGGTCCAGTAATTCATCGGCTCTAAGCAAGGCAAGGAAATTCTGACCATACAAAAATGAAAAAGGTATGAAATAGGGAGAAACAATGTCATCTATAGCAATTGGAGATGGACCATGTATGAGAAGAAGAAGAAATGAAAGAATAGGAAAAACCTGCAGCAGCACATACAAAATGATTGATACATTAGAATTCAATAACAACTCTACTACTAATTGGTACCGCATACAAAATTAAGCAGTTTCAAGTCCCAATTTTGCTACAAAATAAAGTTTTACCTAGTTTCAGGTCCAGAGTTTTGCATTAATTTTTATTTCTTCAACACAACAAATGTCTTATAGCAGCCCAGCAATATCACATTAAGCTAATACAACCAATAGCACACGAGATCAAGAAACTATGTAGCTTTCACACTCACAAGCACAGTTCACTATTGAACACTTTCAAAACTCCCTATAATAATTTACAAACAAAATACGAATCCACAAAGCCAATCCACCCCAAGAATACGAAAAGAAGGGTAATATTTGGTCTCATTATATGAGAAATTCACCAATATTCAAACATTCAATCCACTAATATAACATAGGGTATCATTGAATTGAAAAGATTATATTTATGTATGCACATTTAATTAGAATGTCCATAACTCCCGCGATCAAAATGATAAAATGTTCATACCTAGCCTTATTTTCGTTTTCAACTTTTCTTATCTCTTCGTCTTGCTGAATTCCCTGCGATGAAAACAGATAACCTGATCAGAGTAGTAAAAAGAAAAAATTCTATCTTTTTGATTTCAAAGAGTAAGAAATAGACAATAGAGAGTGAATCGAACCTGCTGTGATGTGAATTCCTCAGGAGCTTCGGAGTCACTATCGTCTTCTCTGCCCGACATCGCTTCGGAGCTCAAAGTATCAACCTTTTCGGATTTAGGAACGACGAGTTCAATTTCTCGGGGTTTTAGGGTTAGGGTTTTGATGTTTTTAAGCAGAGTAAGATCTATTAATGAGAAAATTTCAATATGCCCCCTATAAATATTATACCTTCAAGGTTATCCCTTATATTATAGGAAATATGACTTTAGCCCTTTCTATTTTATGTATCTTGTTAATCCTTATTGTAAGTGGTCGCTTTGGTCAAAAAATTGTAGATTTTTTCTTAAGGGTTGGTTTATTCCCGCCTCTTAAATCTCATTTTTCATCTCATTTAATCATCTTATTTCAAATTATTAAATTTATTTCATTTATATTCACTTCATTAGTCACTAAACCCACCCCGTCTATATTCACTAATTAAAAATTAAATTTATTTCAACCAACTATATGGGTAATTATCAAAAGTTTGTTTCAGTGTATTATTTCGGAACAAATATATTTCAGAAGCAGAATAAAAATTAGTAAAAAATAATAATTATTTTAAAAAAATTAGTCAAAATATCTTAAAACACCTCAAAATATTCTAAAGACATTGATGAAATTATATCAAAATATCTTCAAACAACTCGAAATAATATAGATCCCCTCACAACATTGAAATTTCTCCTCAATTACTATTTTTGTTTCAATTTTTTTGATATATATTTAATAGTTTAATTGAATGAGTACAAATGGAGTGAACTTAATAACTAATGAGATAGATATAAATGAGATGAACTTAATAATTTGAAATAAGATAATTAAATAAGGGAAAAAAAAGATTTAAAGGATAAAAATAATCCCACCCTAAATATTTTTTGTGTTTTGGGTTGTATTTTTTGTAGTGCACTTATGAAGAGGAAGAACGAGGGCATGATGTTGCTATTTAAGAAAGGGGTGGGGCTATTATCCACCCATTAAATCATTTTTTCTACACCATTTAATTATTTTACTGCAAATTATTAAGTTCACCTTATCTATACTCATCTCATTAGTTATTAAGTTAACTTAATTTATATTCATTTGATTAAACTATTAAATATATGTCAAAGATACTGAAACAAAAATAGTAATTTGTAAAATCCAGGTGAGTTTAAACTTTTTATAACAATGGTACAATGATAATTTGTAACTACGATATAGGTTGTAAACTTGAATTTTTCTAGATCTCGGATGACGAAACGGACTTCACCGTTAGATTCGTTTTGCGAAATCTAATTACTCTGTCAAATTTTATCAATTCTGAGATAGTCGAATTTTTTGCATTTTACAAGACGGTCGAGTCTCGGGTGACCCAAAAACGAGATTTTTGATAAAATTTTAAAAGTTGAAAATTATTTAAGGTAAGTTAAAAATAAAAATATTTTGAACATGAACTGGGACAAAATTTAATCGTTTCCGGGCGAAAAACGGACCCGAAGAAAAGAGGGTCATGTGGCATGTTGTGGACAAA